GTTATGTTTGGGGAATTTAGATTTTGACAAATGACATGTTAGGATGTGTATTAGGAGGACGCTGGCTTGAATACTACGAAATCAGACTTTAAGGTAGTAAGAATGGAAAAGGGGAAGGATTTTTTGTTATTTTTAATTTAAGAAACAAAGTAAAGTTTCTTTTCGTTATTTTTTTTTTGTAGGACGCATAATAGGACGCCAGCTTGAATATGAAACTGGACTTTAAGGTAAAAAATGGGGAAAGGAGAATTTTTTTATTTTAAATATGAGAAACGAACTAACATTTCTTTAATTATTTTTTTTTTTATAGGACGCGTAGAAAGGGGATGGAGGAAGGTGATTTTGTTAGAACTAAGATTCTTATCTTGGTTTATTTATTTTTTCTTTTATTTTATGGAACGGTTTACTAACCGTTCCTTTCTTTCTTTTATAGGTTCAGGTGGACTTCTGACGAATGAAACCAAGATTCGTAAGTATTCTGAATTCTGGTTTATTTTTATTGTTTTTTATTATTATGAACGGTTACTATCCATTCTTTTTTTTTGATTTTTATAGGATCGGTGGGCTTTTAAAGAACGGAAAAACCCAAAGATTCGTAAGTATGAGTACGAATCCTTATTTTTTTTTATTTTATTTTTTATTATTATTACGAACGGTTTACTAACTGTTTTTTCTTTTTTTTATAGGATCGAGTGGACTTCTGAAGATTAGAAAAAGGAGAACTAAGGCTTATAAGTATTATATTACGAACCTTAGATTTTTTTTTTAATATTATGAACGGTTTACTAACCATTTTTCTTTTTTTTTTAGGTCTCGGATGGGTTTCCTAAGAACGGAAAAAGGAAACCCTTTATTAAGATTCGTAAGTATTCTATCTTATAAATCTTAGATTCTTTTTTTAATGTTATAGAACAGTTACTAACCATTCTTTTACTTTTTTATAGATCTAGGATGGGCTTCTGAATAACAGAAAAGAACTAAGATTCGTAAGTATTCTGAATCTTAGTTTTTTTCTTCTTTTTTTTAATATTATGAACGGTTACTAACCATTCCTTTTCTTTTTTTCATAGATTTGGGTGGATTTCCAAAGAACCAAAAGAAAGAACCAAGATTCGTAAGTATATACGAATCTTGTTTTTATTATTATTATTTTTTTATTATTATGAACGATTACTAACCGTTCTTTTTCTTTTTTTTAGGTCTCGGGTAGGTTTTCGAAGAATGGAAAAAGAAGGCCAAGATTCGTAAGTATATACGAATCTTAACAGATTGGTAAGTTTCGAAGTTTCACTTCGAAACTTTTTAATTAAATTAATTTTTTTTTATTAATACTTTTATCTTTTTATTGTAGGTTGTATTTCCTGGACACGAAGATTGGTAAGTTTTGAAGAATAACTTCAAAACTTTTTTTTGTTCCAGAGTATTGAGTTAATTTAATAGACTTTAGTATATAGATTGTTATAGTTTAATTTAATGTATATAGATTGTTATAGTGTAATTTAATAAAATAATTTGTTATTCAATAATAATATAAATAATAGTAAAATATTGATATGATGTTTATTATCTTTAAAATAATGTATATCGTAATGTATAGGCAATAAACATTTTGAATTGGTGATGAACATCGAATATTGTAACATCAGTAGTAAATTGCAGGGTCCGATGTTCAGCGTTTCTTTATGATGTACATCAAGTGGCCAATGTACATTTGATGAATATTTTTTCCGTGACTTCCTGATGAAATTTAATAAAAAATTATAAAATTTTATTTTATAGAAGTTTTATTTTTATATTATTCTCATAAAGTTAAATTTTAAGATTTTTGAGCTAATTATTTTGAATACTATACAGTTTTAATTTGTAGAAATTTGTATAATAAAGTACAGTAATTATATTATAGTATTATATTATACTATATAAACTCTTACCATACAGTACAATTTAACTGATAATTTCAATTATTATAAAGTTATTTACTTTGAAAAATATTATATTTGTTTATTTTTTAGTAATACAGTAATAATGAAAACTGAAAAATAACTATAATTAATTTATGTAAAATTTTAATTTTAGATAAATTTATAAAAATAAATTATTACTTCAATATTTTTTTTTTTTATAATATAAATTTTTTATAATATTTATATATTATTTTATATATAATAATAATTGGTAATTTAAATTTAAAATTCAATGTAGAATTTTTTATATATATTTTAACTTTTGCCAATACTTAAGCTTATATATTAATTTTAATTTTTTTTAAAAAATATTGTTTGAACTCAAATAATGAATTTGAAGTATTTTAATATAACTTTTTACTTTATATATATCTAGTTAAATATCATGTATTTTGAAGTTAACCATCCTTAATATGATAGTTATTAAAATAGCATTTTCTTATTAAATTTGATTATGGTGAAGTTGCAGATTCAATTTTATTAATCATGAAAATTAAAAGAATTTTACTGCAGATGTTACTACTAATAATATGAAGTACAGGGATTAGTGTAAGTTAAACTGCATCATGGTAAATTAATATATACAGTTAGGCTGCATATTTTAACAAAAGGTTATAATATCCTCTTAATGTTTTCTAAAAAAATATTGGAAGTTTCAAAATCCTGTTCTTAAAGTCACTACTTGCATATTTTGGGAAAATGGTCTTGTTTTAATGGTTATTCTATAATATTATTAAGGATATAATATGCTTTACTAAGGGGTATAATACGTTAGATAACAGGATGAACATGCATTATATTACAATATCGATCACTTACCGATCATGATATATGTGATACCACATTAAATTTGAAGCTTTATTCCAAACAATAAATGTTCTAACAATTTATGTAAATTATTTTATTTAATAGTTTAATTTATCAATAATTTAATATAAAAGTATTGTGGCAAAATAAGATGTGTTTCCAAAGTTAGATTTTACATCAATTTTTCAATAATTAATATATATGCTATATATATGCCAATCATCTGCTAATCTGACTTTGAAGCCTCAGGCAAAGCCACAGATCTTTAGACGAAACTTGAAACTTTTACAGTATTCAAAAATCAATGGCTAAAATAAATATGGATAATTTTTGATAACTTAAAAGTTATTATTAAATAAATGGTTACAATTATTGTAAAATTAATATATGTCTGATATTTGGCAAAATCTTTATGAATTATTTTAAGAACCAATAAATAAAATAAAGTGAATAAAATTGAAATTTTATATATTATTATGTAAAATTTGTGAAAAAATCAATTCAACGGTATTTTTTTATGTGATAATATTGGACAAGTAATTGGCAAAATAATCAGCAATATCATGATAATATGGGATATCCAGGATTTCGCTTACTTATAAGATAGGTCACCCAGGTCTAAGGTAAAAATTATATATAAAATTTTTTGCAGATTCTACTATAAAAGGAAATTTTATGTTATATTGTTATGATTTTTTTCCTTTTTAGCTAATTAACCAATAGAATTTTAAAAAAAAGTAAGGTAAAAACTATTAGTAAAGGGCCAATTTTCTACAGTGACCTTTATTATAAATAAGCGAAATCCTGGATATTTGTCTTATTACGCTAGATGGTCTATCTAGATGGTAAAATCAAGTGTACAATATCTTTGTAATAGTAGACCTTCTGAAATGGATTTTAAATCAACCATAATGTTTCTGAAATGCCAGTTATATTAAGCAGTTTTAATGATTAGTAACCACCTTAAGGGGTGAGTCTATATTTTCTTAGTACCTTCTGTTCAGATGATTACTTTTATACCACTTGGAGATTTACAACTGTATTATTGGTAATGGCCTTTAAGTGAGACCTTATACCTAACATAATAGTATGGAAATGATAGTCCATTGCAACTGATGAAAGTCCTTATGTTTAGGTGGTCAGGGGTGGATTAATATAAATACTGAGCCATCTTTACCAAAATATGGATGAAGAATGAGTAGGAGGTTCTATCAGGTCTAGATCCAAACCTATACTTGCATGCAAAAAGTATGGGATGATAGATGGTTCATAAATCAGGCTTATTAGTCATGGGATGTCTGGGCTTTGCCTGGTCTTCCTGAGGCCTTCCTGAGTGTTTCTCATCTGCTAACAGCTCTAAGGCCACATAAGTGATTGCCTTAGCCCTGAGAAAATACTACAATTAAATATCATTTATTTTCCACAAATACAAAATAATGTTTTCCAAACTTTTCACAGATGTAAAGCTTATAAAATTACATCAAAAGCAAATAAATATAATGGTTTTTTTGTTACTGCTACAGTTGATATTTTTAGTCTTGTTAGATAGCACAGTTAAAGCTATATTTTTTTTTTTGGCACACAATTTTACTACCGCATATCCCTTGAGAGAATATTTCGAAATATGATCATATGTTCATAAAAACGATAAAATCAAATTTAAGGTATTTTCGTCAACTGGTGATCATCGTTTTCATATTCGAAATTTAATAAAATTTTTTATAAAATTACTGATAAATGATCGGTTTTTAGTTTTTTTTGATATTAAGAGAGAAACATATTATCTGTTATTGCGAAAGATAGTATTATCTATATAATATAAAATTAATACATAATGACTTGGTGTAGTTCTTGACCCACCACGCGGTGCTAACTTATATATTTACAATAAGGGGGTCACTAGGACCGATACTTTTGCTTCAGGGAAAAATTGTTTAGTCTACGGCAAAAAATGCATTTAAATCGTTGTGGGCCCTAAAATATTTCTGACTCTACATTTAATAAAATTTTAAAAGAAGGCAAAAACGCGTAAAAAAATCTATCTATAGTTGGGAGAAAAAATTGCCGAATACAAATTAATCGTAATCGACCAAATATACAAATTGGTTAATCATGAATAATAACCAATAAACAAAGCTTATAATTTGTCTTACCTGAATCAAAGATATTAGTTGATTATTTACCTGATTGGGGCCCACATTTAATTTCCGTGGCCTTTTTCTTTCTTTGCCCTTTTTTTTAAATACATTGTATTAATATTTAGAAAAATTTGTACAAACGTTTCTTTCATCCTCGACCATATTTTGTCTTTTCCTTTGACTTCAAGCACAAAATGTCCGAAATTGCAGACAGGATAGCCGCTGCTCGCAAAGAAGCAGAAACTTTAAAAGAAAAAATTAAGATGAGGAAAGATACATTAGCTGACACGTCTCGTATGTACTTAGAGATTGTTTTTGATTTAACTTTTAGTTGATAGTTGAAAATCTTATTTCGAATATATTTATTTATTTGGATTACCTTTATATATACGAGGATATATACGAGGATATTTTTGAATGAAACCTATAGAATAAGTTTAGCAAAAAAAAACTTGGTGTTGTGATTACACATTATTCAAGATAATTTTATTTCAATTAATTAATCAATAAACAAGGGATAAATAAGAAGGATTAAAAAGTAATTGATATCCAATAATATGAATTGAAATAAATTAGTGAATTGCGGAATCTTAAAATATTAGTTTAATAATAATTCTTTAAATTTCAAAATATATGACAAGTTCTTTGTTCTCATATTTCTTTTTTCCTTTATTGAATTTATAGTGAGAACAATGGCCGCTGAAATCGAACCTTTACCAAGAATTGTAATGAAAGTTCGTCGTACCCTTAAAGGTCATCTCGCGAAAATCTATGCAATGCACTGGGCTTCGGATAAGCGTCATCTTGTATCTGCTTCACAAGACGGTAAACTCATCGTATGGGATGCTCCAACAACCAATAAAGTTCACGCTATTCCCCTTAGATCCTCATGGGTTATGACATGTGCTTACGCACCATCTGGTGCTTTTGTTGCTTGTGGTGGTTTGGATAATATTTGTTCTATCTATAACCTAAAGACAAAAGAAGGTTCCGTTAAAGTTGCTCGAGAATTGGGTTCTCATACTGGCTACCTTTCTTGCTGTCGGTTTCTTAATGATAGACAAATTTTGACATCGTCAGGTGACATGTCTTGTATTCTTTGGGATATTGATGCTGGAATGAAAATATTAGAGTTTAATGACCATACTGGTGATGTAATGAGGTATTTAAATTTACAAATATTTGAACCCAATCAGATTATTTCTTATAATGAATCGACGCTAAACAGTGAAATTTTTTAGTTTGTCTCTTGCACCTAATCAGCAAATATTTGTATCTGGAGCTTGTGATGCTGCGGCTAAAGTTTGGGATATCCGAAATGGTCGCTGTGTACAAACATTCACAGGTCATGAATCAGATATTAATGCTGTACAGTAAGTAACTTTTTTTTTGGATTGTGCTTTAACAATAAAATGGGTCAAAAAAAATTTTTTATTTCTTAGATTTTTCCCTAATGGAGATGCATTTGGAACTGGTTCGGACGATGCATCTTGTCGATTATTTGATTTACGTGCCGATCGAGAATTAAATCAATATACGCATGATAATATTCTCTGTGGTATCACTTCTGTTGCCTTTTCGATTTCTGGTCGTCTTCTATTTGCGGGTTATGATGATTTCAATTGTAATGTTTGGGATACATTAAAAGGTGAACGTGTGGGTGTTTTGGCGGCACACGAAAATCGTGTTAGCTGCTTAGGTGTATCAAGTGACGGTATGGCTTTGTGTACGGGTAGTTGGGATTCATTATTAAAGGTAAATTATATTTAATTTTTTTTTATTATTATTTGATAATATTATTCATTTCAAATATTTAACTATGTTGATATAGGTTTGGGCTTGAACAATAAGTTTACGTATAATTAAACGATAATCTAAATAATCTTGATATCGAGTAAATTGCTTTCACTTAATGGGAGAGGCCATTTTTCATCAACGGAAGGGGAAACATTCACTTTTTTATTTGTTGATAATCGACAGCATTCACGTTTGTTCATTTTCTATATATTATATCATAATTTTGGGATTGAATCATTTTTTTTAAAAAAGAAAAAAAAAATTTTTATTATAAATTTGTTATTATATAACTTTATTGTATTATTGCTATTGTTTTTTTTTCATTTATTGTTATTTTCTCTTCCTAACTAATACACATCTGGCAACATTATTCAAATTTCAAAATTGTTACTTTATATTAGAATATATTTTATTTTATTATTTAAATACCTTTTTTTTTTATTTTGATAATGAAAAACTTACCTATTAAAAACAAAATAATAAAAATAATGTTATTTCTGTATTATTACTATATAAAAAGGAATTGTAATAATAAATGGACGATTCAATAATTACAATATTTTTTTTTTAATAATCGGTAATATAAAAATTAAAATAATCACAATTAGATTTTTAGCTAGCCTTACTTTAATATGCATTAATCAAAGCGATTTAAATGATACAATACTTACGAATTATTACCAATCTATAATTATAAATTGCTCCTAAATATTAAAAGATTATTTCTTTTAAAATGAATGAAAATTTGCGAACGTGCAGATATGGAACAGCAAATAAATTGAAGAGATGATCTTGTACAATTATGTCTAAGGTTATTTACAGCAAACACTCTCAAATGTCCAAACGAAACAGCCTTTGATTCGTTCTTATGATTTTATGAAGAAAAATTTGATATTTTAAATATTTTTATCCATTATCTCCTTTTTGCTCTTTTGTTTCTGTTTTAATCTAGGATTAATATTAATTTTATCCCACGGCCTGTTAACATCGGTTTGTATTCCGACTTCGTATTTGTGAACGAAACAATTTGGGTTGACAAATTTCTCCGTATATTCATTATAAACTTCATCGAATATTATTTGTCTGTCTTTGATAAGAGACTGATATAGCTTGACGAGAACCTTCAACTGTATAAAAAAATTAGTATAGGAATAACAAGTTGACATAGAATAGCTTATAATTAACTTATATTTACTTGAATTCCAATGATTACTGCCGCTGGCAAAAGATAAAAGTAATTTTCTCCGGTCAAATAATTAAGAATCAAAACTTGAGCTGGAGAATAATAACTAAATAGAAGTTGTAGATTTAATTTAACTCCAAAATATAAACAAAAATAATACTGCATTCATAATTACCAGAAAAGATCTAAACAAAAACTAGAAGGACACCACATAGTTATCACCCAAACACACTCACTGTTAGGGTCAAATCCGGGATGTTCAAAAATAACTTGTAATAAAGGGTAGCTAAAAATTCGTCCTCTTAATTAAAATGAAAAATCATCTATCAAAAAAAAAAAATCATTCAAAATAACTTACAAAAATTTACCAGGGTATCTTTCTGCCCATGCTGGTATAGGTTCACCCACTTCTTGCATTTGAACATTATTACTTTTTGGTCGGTCCTAATAAGAAAAATTAATGAGTCACAAAAAATATAAAGAATAAACAATATCCTTAAACTATTGAATTTCATACATTTAAGCGATGCTCAAAGAGATGATAATTTTTTGTGGATAAATAAACATAAATAGCGTTGACCATGCTTAATGAAAATAACGTCCATTCACAAAAAGAAAGCTGTAAATCAAAGTGAAATTATGAATTGACGATTCAGCCTAAACAAATATTTTTAGAAAGAATTCATACACACCCAAACTGCTAAAGAACTGCGAAATGGGTTAAGTATAGGATCATATTTTGGTCCATCAAACCAATGTCCAATCCGCAACACAATAGATAAAGTATTTAGGCCAATAGCTGCAAACCAGCTATAATAGCACAATGTGTTATTAGTGAAATCGTTCTAGTCGCGTAAATAACGTTAAGTCAAGCGAATTAAAAAAGCACACCTAGAAGCCTGACTCCATTCATCCCAATCTTTCGTATTAAAGTCCTCCTCAAATCTATTAATACGATCCATCGGCCAACTTTTAATTCGTTCCCATATTGTACGTGATCGAATTATTCTTGTTCCTCCAGTTCCTGACTGCTCTGGCATAATAAAAATTTATGAAATTATATAAATGAAGGATTATGAGGTAATATCGTAATTAATATGTAATTCCACTCTGTTGTTATGAGTGTTCAGAGTAGCGTTAACCGAAAAATTCTGCCAACTATATCAACTAGTAAATTAGTTTCTGTGAACTAATGACTAAACTTGAGATATTCGGGAGAATATAAAATAAAGTGGTCGGGAAAATGCTTGTGTAAAAACTAAATTTAAAATAAAGAAGGAAAGAAAATAACCAATGAAAAAAAACTAGTATTGGAAGAAAACAAATAAAAAATGTACAGTTAATTTATAAAAAAAGTTGCTGACGTCAGTTGATCTTGATAAAAATCGCGCCTTTTTTTATCACATATTTTTTTGTATGTATTACAAACTTTTTGTTTTTTTCGCGTACTTTGACGCAAAATTTACCTTCTTGATTCTCCTCGTGTGACTAACCTGACTCGCATAATTGCACATGCACATGCACTATGAGTGCACTATGCAGATAAAGAAAGTAAGGTGATACAATCCAAGAAGGTTTTTACGAGATGTTTTTTTACCTTGTCTTTATCCCATTAATGGTGAGATGTAAAATTACCTTCTTGCGTTATTATCTTGACCAAATTTACTATGATAGTTACAATTTAATTTATACTTGTCAAGAAAGTTGAGATGATTCAGATCAAGTAACTTTGCCGGTGAGATTCGTAATCAAAGTAGACTTCAAAATCATATAAAGGATAGGTAATTTGTAATTTATTTACTTTTATACAAAGAAGAAAAAAATTTTTTCTGTTTGAGCATGTAGTAACGATTAGCCCACAAAGTTAATTTTTTCATGGTCTTCAAGTCTTCGGTGAATGATCTTTTTTTAGAGTATATCTAAGAAAAAAGTTCGGAAATATTTAATGTACAGTGAAAATATATCGGGTATAACATTTTGCAGAATTGACAAATGACAAATTGTTTCGCATTTTTTGTAGATTAAAAATTTTAAAATGGAAAATAATAATGAGACAGAACAACGAGCTGATGCTACGAGTTCTGATAACAAACAAACTGAGATTTCAAATTCTTTTCCAGTATTCAAAGCTCCATTACCAGTAAATTGTAATTAACCCCAATTGGATTCAATCTTCGCAGTAACTCACTTTTATCAAAATTAATCGGCTTTGATTTGGTTCAATTATTAGTAAAAGAACGACAACTAAAGCAGCAGCAGCAACAACAGCAGCATCTACCAATTCCTCCACCGGTTCCGTATGAAAAACCAGAATGGAGTGATTTACCAAAAATCAACTGTTCTTTTGAAATAATTAAGAATGGTATTAGTTTAGAATTTATAGACTTTCCGTCAAAAGAATTTCTTGTACTCGGTACGTTAATTGTCTTGGATTTGTTCAAATGTGAATTTGAAAAAAAAACATCCGGCATTTGTAATAATTCGAATTTAAAACATGCAGGGCGCTTGCCAATTTGTGATATTGCAATGGAGCATCCGGTACACTATAATTTATTGATTTTTTGTTTAAAACATAATTATAATAATTTGTGTATTTACAGTCTATTTCTAGATATCATGCTATTATTCAGTTTAATAGTAAAGGTAAAAATTCTTTATTGAAAAATTAAATTTTTCGTAAATTGATGGAATTTGTTGTATAATAATGAAAATCGAATAGGCGAGATTTTCTTATATGATTTGGATAGTGCACATGGAACTATAATAAACAAACAGAGAGTACCATCTCGACATTTTACAAAACTTCGTGTTGGTGATCAGTTGAAGTTTGGAGAAAGCACTCGGACATATGTTTTATTAGGACCCGAAGAACCACAACCGGAACCTATACAAATTTCTAAGCCTATATTAAAATCTGTAGGAGAAAATAGCAGTGTTACTTGGTTAGTAAGAATTATAAACGTTCATGATAAATATTATTTAGACCTTAGATTTACTTTGTGTTGGATTCTACCTTAGGGGTTTTGCAGAGGATGCAGAAGACGAAAATGAGATGAATGTAGCAGCCACTAAAGAATTATGGAAACGCGACGAAAATGCCTATTATTACAAAGATCCAAAAAAGGCTTTAAGAAATTGGCTTGAGGTATTTACAAATTTAGTACATGGCACACAAAAAAACGTGAATAATGTGAAAATAGATTTTACAAGGGCAAATTTATTCTGAATCGGGTTTAATCCTAGACCCTTAATTTGTTTAAGTATTCGTCTATGAGCCTGAATCCCGGTCTATTTTAAGGACACACTTACGAAAATGTCTAAAGTCACGTGAAGTGAGAAATATAATTTACTTATATTTTTTTATTTAGAATCGTGGTTATGATATGGAATTCGAAATTGAGCAAGAAGGACCAGGACACTCACGTACCTTTACTGCCAGGTTTATATTGATAAAAATCATGTTTTCCATTTTCATTGTTCTCATTCTAACAAGTTATAATTACTAAAGAATCCGGTTACCAGATGTTGAAGATGCATATGGCCCTGTTTATGGTTTGGGAAGTGGTTCAAAGAGAAAGTTAGTGATAGTTTATAGTATAATTTGCTTCTTTGAGGAAAATGATTAGTTGACAAAACAAAATTTTTTTAGGGATGCTGAAAGACAAGCAGCCATAGATTCTTGTGAGAAACTTGATATGCTTGGCCTTTTGCGAGCAAGCCATGATGAAGCTTGTATGTACCAGTGGTGTTACTCTCGCCTCTTTAATTAAATTTATTATTATTAAAACCTTTTTTTAAATAGCTGCCAGGAAGAAAAGAATGCGCGAATTGTTAGGCGATGATGACAATGATGATGATTATGATAGTTTTTATGATCGAACAGGACAAGGTAATTGAAAAATTTTCTATATCGTATTCAGAAAAAGTTATTAATACGGGTTTTTTTTGTAAATTTTAATTATAGCTGAACGTGCAAAGTTACGTAAAATACAACCACAAAAAATAGAAACATATGAATCATTGACAAGGCAACGAGAGGAACTTACAATTAAAATCAAAGAAATTCAAAGCAAAATATCTAATGCTAAAGAATTTGGTATTTTTGTTAAACTAAAATTACAGCTTATTATAATATTATACCTCTTATTTTTTTTTATATTTACTAATATTTTTAATAATAGAAAAGTCATCCCCCATAATTACAGCTGAAGATGATTTAGATTCTTACATGAATACAATAAATAAAGATTTAAATAACGAATCAGTAACAAACTTGGAAGCTACACTACGGGACTTATTAAAAGTATATACAAAAAAAATAGTAATTATTCATTAATTAGTTGTTAATAAGTAAAATTTTGTCTCTTATTAGCAAGATTTAAGGCTCGCTAAACTCATCGAAATTACGAAACCTCTTGATATCATGCAAAGTATTTCGATGACGCCATCCCCTTCAAAATCAAATATTGCAAACAGGTATGTTTTTACAAGTATCTTTCGAATGATACCAAACATTCTAATAATATGGTAATTTTTCAAGTAATGCGACTATTGTTGAGCCAAAAATTAAAGTGAATGTGGTACGTATGCATAAATAAATTGCTTTCTTTAAAAATCAAGTAATGAATTCCATTATACATTTCTTAGGAAAAAACACAACAGGACACACCAATTTCATCATCAAATGAATTTAAAATTCCGGTGTCAATTAATGTTGAACATATTGATGATGATGATCAATCTCTAATTGTACTACCATCGAAGAAGTCCTTAAACAATGAAATCTCACAAAAAAGAGAAAATTTTCCAGATAAGGAAGAAATTAATGATGAAAAGGAAAAGAGGATTAAAACTATGATACCGATGACACCTCAAGAATATGAAAGAAAACAAAGAAAAGCCGAAGAATTAAATGAACTTGAAATTGAAGAGGCCATGGCTTGGGAACCACCTAAGGATCAAACAGGTACAAATTATTAACAAAGCTTTCATCGTTACATTTAATAATAATTTTTTGATTTTTTTCGTTTACATCTACAAGGTGATGGCAGGACAGCTTTGAATGATAAGTATGGATACTAATGACTAGTCAAATATGAAAGTGTACTTGGTGATTTATATTACTGCAAGAATACAGCAGTATTAGCAATATTAGGACCTGTTTGCGCTGCATTGTATATAAAAAAATTTTATAATTAAAGATTGTCTCAGTTGGTTTGATTTAGAAATAATATATGTCAAGGAATAATATTTTAAGAGCTTAATCTTAAAAAACAATCAAGTAAACTATATCCAATAAAGCAAGAATGAAATATATATATAATAAGGAACAATGTCAAATAAATCAATCTAAAAAAAAAAATGAAACTTATTATAATTGTTGAAAATATAACAAGAAAAATCAAGAGAAAGTAAAAAAAAAAAGAAAATAAAAAACTCAAATCAAAGTTCACTCTACAATTACGACTGTCGTATCAAAGAAAAGTTCATTAACATGAGCAGTTATTAGCTGGTGTAGGACTTGTCAAATCGACTCCTCTTTGTTTCAAGCCAGAACCTCGTCCGCGTGAATTAGCAGCTAATTGTTCAAGTGGCATTTTCTTCGCTTTAAAGAAGCATAAAAGAAAAAAAAATCGTACACATGAAACAAAGCTTAGAGAAATATCTAAAATCAAATAAAAATTTAATATTCATACCTATTGATGTAAATAATTCGTTGACATTAACAGCTGTCTTTGCGGATGTTTCAAAAAACAAAAGACCGGTATCTGTCGCATAAGCCTGAGCCTCCTTTTTAAGGTAAAAATGATTAGTAAATTAAAATCATTAATATATTTATTACCAAGTTAAATATATAGTTACCTCAGAATCAATGGCCCGGCGAGCATTCAAATCACTCTTATTACCAGCAAGTGCAATGACAATATTCGGATCAGCTTGTCTTTGCAATTCTTTTACCCATGATTTCGCTTTATCCAGAGAAGACTGAACAATAATTTATATAATACGGATTAATCGTATACATTATGATTAATAATAAGTGAAATTTAATAATACATACAGGTTGAGTTATATCATATACAACTACCGCACAATTTGCATTTCTGTAATACATTGGCGCCAAGCTCTATAACGCGTATGAGAATATTTCTGGTTAAATTACTTATACTGTAACATTTTATACACGTAAAAACACGAAATCTCGTTTCTCCAAAAATGACACCTTATAACGTTCTTGACCTGCCGTATCCCTAAAAGGAAATTCGATACGTGTAAACGTTTTGATTAGCGTTTGCAACAAATCACATGAGTATGAGATATAAATACAGATATTAAAATTACCAGATTTCAAATTTTACCGTTGTATTATCATCTAAACTAATTGTCTGCGTGAGAAACGCAGCTTTCGGCACAAATAAAATAAGACAATAAATAAAACCTTTTTAAAAAAATAAAGAATATGTCATTATAAATCTTACCTCCAATAGTACTTTCCCTGTAGTCATCGAATTGGTCTTTAACAAAACGTAATACCAAGCTAATTGAAACATGAAAAAGAACACAAATGATTAATATTATTAACTTTGTATTTTCCGATTACATCTTAGCTTGAAATGCTATATCGTCCAAATCTCCAATATAAAGTGTATGAATATAAACGGTATAAAAACTGGGTATATAAAGAAAATGAGATAATTTCTATCGTGTTGAAGTTCATTCAACGAAAATACTCGCGTGAATATCCCTAATACAAAAACCAACCTTGATTTACCGACTGCTGATTCGCCTATAGAGTTACAGAGTAAAATCAAAAAAAAAGAAAGTACGTCAATATAGGCCAAAAAGCCAAAAACAAAAAAAACTGCGAAGGTTTGGTAATTGATGCTTACGATCGTAAGCTACTGTGTCTGCTGAAAATTTGCCATACCTAATAAAACAAGCTTGAATTGGTACAATTTGCCAGAAGCCTGAGCGTTTTGTCTGTTGTTTGTGGTTGACATCACAAATTATTTTATCAAATGTAAAAGAATACTGTCAGGTATTATATAAAGAATAAATAATATATAAAAAACAAGTGTACTATGATATTTCCAATAGTCATTTGGTGGTTATACAATGTAGATTATATTGAATAATAGAATTATATTGAATCGGCGGCATTCGGCATCAATACATGTGCGCTAAAACCAATATCTATCGTCATTAGTCATTTCATCTTCTTTTATCTGAAAAAACATAAATGCCTTTGGGGCTAAAACGTCGCAAAGAATTTTTATAACCATTTTTTGTTTTGCTCGATCTAAAAAAACTACAAAAAAAAAAAGGTTAACTAATATCATATTTATTCAATAAATAATAACAGTTCGAGCAAACTCCTTATATATAGAAACCAACCCTCCTGAAAAAAATTGCAATCGCAGCACCAACCACTTTTTCTTTTTCTTTTTTCTTTACCCCAAATAATTTCTACTCAACAAATTTTTTGTTTATAATGTCGTCTTCTATATCACCTTTTTATCGTCCCGGAGTTTTTCCTGCGCTTTCCAACCGCCTCCTTTCAAGTGCTTCCCAAACCCTCCGACTTGCTATTAACCAGCAAATTTATATAAAGACTGTTTATAGTAATCCTTTACGGGTTACTGGTCTACCCTTGACCACTACAAAAGGTTTCACTTATTTGATAGCTGCGTCTTGGCATCCCAAAAGAAAACGACAGACTGTAAATTCTATATCAGGTGGTGGTCACCCATGGTGGAAAGAACGTATGAGAGCGGGTAAAGTTGATGCGGGAGAGGACGCTTTTTTCTATGTTGGGACAAATAACGGTGTAGCCTTAGGAGTAGCCGATGGCGTTGGTGGATGGTCTCAGGTATATTATATTTGTTTTATTGTACCTCAAAAGTTCTATAGTACTTTTTTTTTTTTTTTTATTGATGTTTACGTAAACCTAACAATAAATATAAAAGATGGGTGTAGATCCAGCAAATTTTTCTTGGGCATTAATGGATAACGCTGCAAGTGTAGCAAAAGATAATGCGCCAGATCTATCACCTTTTATTGCTCCATCTGGTTATGATGACATATTAGATGCTAAACAGATACTAAGTGGAGCGTTCGAAAATTTGATCAAGAGTGGAAAAGTCAAAGCAGGTGATGTGGCTTTATTTGTTAATTTTATTATGAATTTAAATATTTAATTGTATTTCTTAATTTTAGGAAGTTCAACGGCCTGTATTCTTTCACTATCCAAATCTTCAGGAATCCTTAATGCAGCTACTTTGGGCGATTCAGCTTATATTTTAATTCGTAATGGTGCACTATTATACGAATCTCCATCACAACAACATTTCTTTAATTGTCCATTTCAATTAACCATTGTACCTGAATCGTACCCTAACCAAAAGCTCTATTTTAAAGACAAGCCAAGTGATGCTCAACAAACTAGCCATCAGCTTCAGGATGGTGATGTTATCCTGCTAGCTACTGATGGCTTTTTCGATAATGTATTTGCTGATGAAGCAGTTGAAATTGTGAATAGAGAGCTTCATGATGTTATGGGTCATGATGGTATGGTTCGTGAAAAGGACCTTGAAAATCTTCGAACTCACGTTAGAAGACTTTCAAGAAGATTGACGGATACAGCGAGACGATTTTCCTTAGATCCAAGAAGAATTAGTCCTTTTTCACAAAGCGCAAAACAAAATGGAGAAATTAGAATCGGAGGGTAAGATTTTGTTATAGTAGATTTTTTGGTTGGTGTTGGGCTTGCATATTTTGTGATTCTTTTTGTAGGTTTACTGGTTTGGCGGGTAATATTTCTTAGAGGTTGCCTCGGGAAGCTACAATTTACCAACATAGTCAAAACGTCTTCTTACTTCTGAATACAAAAAAAAAAATTATTCAAGAAAGAAGTTGGAACTATGAAGAAGAGTATAAATATTTTTTTGTGGTAAATTGCGTACGTAGGTTTGTTTAAAAATAATGTGAAATTTGTTATTTAATTCATCGTAGCTTTCCGAGGCATCTTTCTGCTAGCCAATTAATGTTTGTTGTATTGGAATCTTCATTTGTAATATTCTTTTCGAACGATTTCATTTACGATAATTATTTGTGTTAAATTAGGTGTCTTAATTCTATCAAGTTCTAATCCCTCACTTTATTTTCAATTTATAGTAAAGTAGACGACATTACCGTACTAGTGACGTTAGTACACGCAAATTCATGATCATTGTTTTCATCAAAGGTAAAGAAAAAAACAAAATTACAATTTAAGAAAAAATTTCAATGCATTAAAGAAAGTCAATTAGCGTATAAGAAACAAAAGTATTATATCATACCCTTTTCAATACAATGTGTTTTATGAGAAACGTAAAAAAGAAACAAAAAAAAATTAATTTCACTTAGTATTTGTATTTATTACAACAATTTATTAAAAAATTTTCATAAATTCAAGGACAATTTTTATTTTTCTCTTTCATCTTTAATACTTTTATTCAAGATCCTTTATTAAAATTATTAAAATTTACAAATAACTTACTATAGTACATATTAATATTTAAGCTTGCATTAAAAAAGAGCAGTTCTTTTTTTGCTATTTAATATTAGTATTTTTAACTGTTATGAATAAATGTATTTACTGTATTATTTAAAATAAGTTCATTTTGCAATAAAATAAAATAATAATTATAGATATTTGGCAGGAATTCATAATCACCTCAATAAAATTTAACTGCTAACTAAATAAAGCTTTTCATAAATTCAAAAAGGAAAAAATACTATTACTCGAACTGCTGACGGTGGGGTTTGAACCCACGCATGCTTTCGCATACCAGATCTTAAGTCTGGCTCCTTGGACCACTCGGACACGTCAGCTTGTGAACGGATATACTTCAAAATTATTTTAATTTGAATAAATTTTTATAAGAATTTGATTGGACAATCATACTATCCCAGTTAATCACTAAACAAAACGGCTTATGGTCTAATAAAGTTGGGAAGGACCCGCAGAAATTAGCAAGTTTTTAAGAAGAAATTTTTTTGTTCCTTCTTATTTCCTTTAGCTCAAGTACATTATCTGTTATATCCATCCATCCGACTTTCAGATACCGTACTTTGCTTCTTAAATTATCAATATTTTAGTTTCTCAAGAACTCACCTTTGTGAACTTGAGAAATAGCTGTATACTTAATCATGTTACTTGACGACACATCTTCAAAAGCTTTAAAGAAATATCTTAGCCACCACTTGGAACCAATGTACGACTGATCTTCCTTTGTTTGCTTTTTAATGTTTCATTTCGTATTTGTTAAATACTTTGTAAAAGGATCAGCTTGGGAGTTCAACTCAATTGTGCTTACTTTAATAAACTTTACTTTCTTTTTTTATAAAGTTGCGACGCAGATCCAAAGGTTTTGGCCGACTATGTTATTGCTCTTTTAAAACATGACAAACCTGATCAAGATCTAAAACAACTATGTATAGACCAGCTTGACGACTTTCTAAGAGGAGGTTTGTTAATCAATTTTACCAATTTCTTTTAATTAGTTCGGGTGCGCTAGTATTTTTACGCCTGCGTAGTCGAGTTTGTCTGTTGATTCACTTATTCATTATTTATATTCATTCCTTTCTTAATTATTTGAAATTTATTATTTAATTGATAGAAACCGGACCTTTCGTTGACAAATTGTTTGATGCTTTAGGTTCACAAGAATATCTCAGTGATGCATTAACCACAGTCCAATCACAACAGGAACCAATTATAAATGCAAGCGCATCATCAAATAATTCAATTGAAGGTAAGCCAACAAAATCTCAGGATTTGACACCAGAAAAAGTTGATAGTCAACCATCAAAGATTGGGGTCCGGAAAAGAGAAGATAGCGAAGCATCGGATGATGACGACGATAGAAATTACAAGCACAGGGAGAGAAGTGGCGAAATTCGAGATGATTATCGTCGTTATACCGATCGATCTTCCAATTTCACGAATCGAGAGGACGATAGAGACTCAAAAAATAAAAGATTTCGTAGTAGCGAAGGTATTCCCACTGGTCCCGCATCAGGAGGATCTCAGTATAATAATAATTTTCAAGATGATCGGTCTTTCAAAAGACGACGTGATGAAACTGAAGAGGAATTTCGTTCAAATAAAATTCCTCGTAATAATTCATTAGGAACTAGTCAACCTATATCTGGTAGTGGAAACGGTTACGTTTCTAACAATGGAATGGGAAGCGTTCGACGTCCTGATTTTGAAAGAGAAAATCGGCTAAATAGAAACTTTCCTTCTATATCGTCTGGTTCTCCGGGTTCAAGCATAAGTTCTGGTCGGTGGGGTAATGAGTGGGGCAATAATGGAATGAATACTCCAGTTAATGATCGTTTTGACGATAGGAGAAGGAGGTTGAACGAACGTGGAGGTGGTAGAAGTGGCCCTATGGTTGTGAACCGTGGTTCCGGGTATTCTGATGTTAGGCCTGGAAGACGTCAACGTTGTCGTGATTATGATGGTTAGTACTTATGATATTTCGGTTTATATCTGAAGTAATTTTACTTATTATTTTTAATTCAAACAAAGAAAAAGGATATTGTATGCGTGGCGATCTTTGTCCTTTCGACCACGGTGTAGATAGAATTGTTGTTGATGACGTTCCATTGAATAGGCCATTCGATATTATATCGCCAATGGCTGGTAATCCATTAACAGGACCAGTTGGTATAATGAATGCTGGTGTTCCTTCGAGACCACCATATTTTATGAGTACTGCTGGCGTTCGAAATCAATATGATCTTGATCCAGGATATTGTAAATAAATATTTTTTTCTTTTCTTTTTTTCTTTTTGATTTATATATTTCATTTTTAATAATCTTCTTGAAATAATTTAGCCGGTCAAACATCAAGATCAATGACCCCAACTGCAGATGCTTATGATCCAGAACGTGCCACATTATCTCGTCCTGAAGATTTGATTTCAGTGATCGAGCCAAAGGAAAATGAAATAACACAATCATCTCCCGAGACTGTTGTAACTGAACCAACTCTCTCATTAACATCGGCACCCAGCGTTCCACAATTCTTAGATTCGAGTGTTGGTTCCTCTGCTACGAGAGGTACTACATTTAGAGGGCGCGGTCGTTCTCGTGGAAGTCGTGGTGGATTTAATACTAATAATAGATATGGTACTAGTGCAAACAAAAATGCGACGTTGGTTGTTGAAAATATACCGAAAGAATTCTGTAATCTTGACAAAGTGAATGAATTCTTTAAAAAATTCGGTACCATTACAAATATCAATATTGATATCAATTATCTAAAAGCTATTATTCAGTTCAGTAATAGTTCTGAGGCTTATAAGGCTTATAATTCTCCAGAACCAATTTTTGATTATCGATTTGTCAAAGTATATTGGCATAAAGAGAAAGAAGAACCACAGACTTCAACTTCTACGGTAACAAAACAACCTGCTTCTCCCGTAAAATCAGAACTTCCTGCTATTACTCAAACGGATCTTTCACCTACAATTAGTGCAGCTGAAAAGAAAGAAGCTGAAGAAAAAGTCAAAAAACAAAAAGAAAGTCTCAAAGCAATGCTAGAGATTCAAAAACAAAGAGAGCAATTGATCAACAGGCAGATTGAAGAGCAAAAAAAATTGATGGAACTTGCAAAAAAGAAAAATGTAAATTCTAAAAATCGGGAGGAAGTTCTTAAAAGTTTGAGCAAAGTTTCTGAAGATATTAAGAAAGACACGAATGTAGCCGTCCGAAAACCTTCTTTGACTGGGAACATTCATCCAAAAAGTCTATTGGAAGAAAAAGAAAGGGAACAGTTAGATAGGGAACTTGATATTCTGAGCAAAATAAATGAAAATAGTGCTGCAAATGAGCCATTAACTTCAGCAGCAACAGTGACAGCAACATCATCATCCACAAACACACAAGCAAGCACTGAAACTACTAATCTTGAGGTAAGTAAGAGTGTTCATATGGACTTGCTTAATAGTATTTAGATTTGCTAATAGCAATGTAACTATTTAGACGAATACATCGACTGCTAGCTTAAATAGTTTTGCCGAATCTGCTATGTACCGTGGACGCGGGCGCGCTGTCTTTTATCGTGGTAGAGCTCGTGGGCTTTGGCCTCGAGTTCGTGGTGGTGGTGTCATGCGTTCCTACAAACTAGATAATCGTACCACAAAACTTTTACTAAAAGAGGTCCCGACGGGATCTACTGATAATCTTCGAAATTATTTTCAAGTAAGCTGCTTTTTTAAATAAATAAACTTTAGTTTTGAATTACAATTTAATCGTTTTTTATAAATATTTTTAGCAATTTGGGGAAATTGAAACTTTTACAACTGCAGAAGAAACACGAACAGCAATTGTACAATTTAAAAATAGAAAAGATGCTGAACAGGTAATTAATTAATCTTGTATGTGTTTTCTTATATTGTTATTAGAGGATTAACTAATTGTTACACTACACTATTCAGGCACTTGTAAAAGGTTCCAATATTCCTGATGTTGGCCAAGTACAACTGACGTGGCATACGGAAATAAGCCCTGTTACTCGTCCTGTAGAGGTGACAACAACAACGGCTTCTGCTTCTGATAATGTTGCTGAAGCAGCTGTTGCTGTAACAGAATCTCAAACAGTCGATACTGAATCTGCATCAGCATCGCGTACTAATGTTACAACAGATTTTCAAGCTGGCGATGATGAAGATGATGAACGAGAGCGTTCTTGGAAACGATAATAATTGTATACATAACTCTTAAACTTTGTTTTTAGAAATTTAAAATAACGTGCGTAATCTTTATACTATGATAATTCAAATATTCATTTCAAAAGATCTAGAGTTAGTTCAATTTATTTCTCGTTACTTTTTTTTTATCTCACAGTACGATATCCTTTTTATTTTTTTTTTTCTCTGATTTGTATATATCCGTGAATTTTTGTAATTTGAAATTTTAAAATATTGCAGTTTGTTATTGCGAAAACGCTCTCTAAAAGTATTTATCAAATATTAGTAAATTATCTTTGTGATTAATATTTGTAAAATCATTAGTTTATATTATTAATCTACTTTCTATATTAATAGATATAAAGTGTAAAGTTTACAAGATTCGGAAGATCAGAATCTGCAGCCATTCTTACCAATATCATAATTAAACAATTAGTTAAAGCCATTATAAACAATTAAGGTTACCTAAACACATCTGGTGTGTATTTTTAAAACTGAAACAATGTTCCCTGATACACAACGTTGTGATGTCCTAGTTCGATTGAACTTTTCGAAAAACGTTTTCTAGTTCGTGCTACTGTACAGATAGGTTAAGCTTGAAAAATTATCATAAGTGCTAAATCGGATTTATAAAGCAAAATGGATCTTGCATTATTAGCGAATCAAAAGATTTAGTGCGACCATCGGCTTTTATTTTTATTTTTATTTATTTATAGTCATTGCCAAGTAAAAAATAGTAGAATAAAGAGTATTGTCGAAGATTTCTTGAATTTCAATCGTTAAATCATAACATATTTCATATTGGATTTCCTCAAGGGAAAGCTTGGCAAGCTGGGTAACCAAGTGTCGACGAACGGAGGTGCCGTACAGTCTGAGGAGAGGAGGTCTAGTGATAGTTATCATAATGTCACAAATAATGAGAGACCAATCTCAACAAAGTTTGAAGGAAAGAAATCTGATGCTTCATATTACAATCAAAACAATAGTTCAATGTCAAGTTTACATAGAAAGAAAAAGGGTTTCGGAAATAAGATTATTGAAATAAGTAAACCTACTGAGTTTGAACATGGAATTCATGTGGAGTATAATACTGAAAGTGGTAAATTTTTGGTCAGTATTAATTATTATAGAGTTTTATTAGGTTAAAGTGATCGATAAAGCTTTGTCTTAAGTAAAGCTACAGTTGTTTCTACTATAAGTTTTAGCGAATGAATTATAAGTTAGTCGAACAATATTGAAATTGATTGTTTTAATATACAATATATTTTTAGGGTATGCCTGATGTATGGTCTAGCACAGTACCAAGCGATGAAATATTAAATACAAAATATATCAATCCTAACCTTGTCCCAAGTCCAGGTTCTCCTGGTAAGTTTATTTACTAAATTTAGTATTAAATTTCAAAGGTTAGTTTTGAATTAATTATCCACTTATTTTTTAGATACAACTGAGATCACTGGTAAAAAAATTGGACAGCCTTATAATTTTAAACATAATATTCATGTAGATATTGATGAAAATGGTTATTTGGTATGTAAATAAGTAAATTTAAAATTTAATTTCCAGATTAAATATTAAAATTCGAGCATTAAAGTGACTATTCGACATAGGGCCTTCCTCCAGAATGGAAAGCTATGCTTGACTCAGCCGGTATAACTGAAAATGAAGTACGGCAACACCCAGAAGCAGTTCGAAAAATCATGCAATTAAGAGTAGCGGAGGAACAAAAAAGGTTAAATAATTCGATTACACATCAACGATCTGTTTCTCTTGGTTCTCCTCATAATATACAATCAAATGGAGAAAGTTTTCGACCGGCATCAACAACACTAGCTAGTTTACCTCCACGGAAATCTTCCATTAGAAAATTTTCAAGTCCTTCCTTAAATGGACAATCAAATGGGTCAAATGAAAATTTTAGTGGATCAAAGCATACTATAATTCCTCCTCAACGAACAAGTTCAAGTGGATCTCAAAAATTTGCGAAGGTATATTATCATCCACATAAGTGCGGACAATCTTCTGAATCTCTAGATGTATCAAAAAGTTGGGATATAATACCTAAAAGGAAAGGTTCTGATGGGTCACAAAAATCAGGAAAAGAGTCAATTATTTCTATAGATTCAGTAAATTCATCATCTATAAATGTTAATCTCTCTTACAAGGATCCTTTATATACGAATGCTGCAACTTCCCCATCATCATCAAGAGCACTTACTAATTCTTCATCAGCAAGAAACAATCCTGTACCAGTTCCGCCAAGAAGAGGATCAAATGTTGCAGTTACATCTCCACCTCCAAAAGATTCAATACAAGGAGACAGACCTTCATCGTCCAGACCTTCGTCTCCTAGGCCTTCATCACGTGAAAGACCTACTTCTCCCATACCATCATCACGGGGAAGGCCTACGTCGCCTGTTCCATCCTGGGATCGTGCGACTTCACCAATTCCACCACCGAGAGAACAACGAAAAATGTCAAATGGGAACATATATAATACAAATTCTTTAATATCAATAAATAATGATGAAATAGTTTCTGCACAAATACTTAATGTTTCATTTTTGCCAAGAGATAAACCCACATCTAAATTTATACCGCCCAGACCTACATCCCCTAAACCACCACCACCACGTAAACTTTCTGGAACTCCCGTTACACCACTTCCGTCAATCCATAAAGTAGGGCCTCAACCACCACGACCTGATCGGCCTGATCGACCTAATAGCCAACGAGTAGAATCGAATAATAATCCTCCTATATCTACTAAAAAAACATCGAGCGTTACGTCGATACCTCCAATATACTTAAATAGTCCAGGTTCACCTCCCACACAATCTTCACAATCTTATGATAATTATTCATCAACAAGGCGAAATTCAGACAATTCTGGAACTGTTGTGTACAATAGTCAAGACATTTCCAATAAATTAACTTCAGATCCTTCTAACAGTTCATCTAGTTCTATAATTAGTACTAATTCATCAAAAGAGTCGATCAATTCTAATAAAGAACAAATTATTTCAGACAATTCAACGCTAAATAAACATTTAAGTGATACGTATAGCGTAGATGGATCTACAAATGATGCGACTTTAAGTAAAAAACTAAAATCAGCTTCAGATATAACTTTAGAACCATTGGGAATAACGGACACTTTTTCAAAACCTGACAAGCGATCAACACAGAATGATAATGGTTCGACACAAATATATTCTTCTTCTTTACTACTACTTTTCTCCTTTTTACAAACATTTCTTCATTGTATTATTAAATGCAGAGAAATCACGATCATCAAAATATTCTGAAGTAATACGGAAATGTTCATCACTTTCAGATATAAATCGGTTATCAAATCTGTCTAATGATTCCAATATGGAAAATGAATTTCCTGAACAGAAGTCTGTTGTTAATCCCGAAACATTGCCACGGGAAATTAGACATCTTGGTATTGTATTTTTTTTTCCTTAAATTGTTTTTTTTTAGTACTTAAATATATATATATTTTTTTATTGACTAGCTGATATATTGGAAACGGGCGATCCGGGTCAGATTTTTACTAATTTAAATATGATAGCTGAAGGTGAATCTGGTAACATATATGCGGCAAACCAAAATAATTTGAAAAATATGGTAAGTATCTTAATTTCCTAAATTTTTTTATAATTCTTGAACTAAATTTAATGATATTATTTAAATTAATTTATTAGGTTGCTATCAAAGTCATACCACTTATTAACACTAATAAATTAGAAATATTAAAGAACGAATTGTCTATGATGAAAAAAAGCAAACATTCAAATATCGTTGAATATATTGGATGTTATTATAAATCTGATTCTATATGGGTCAGTAGACTAATTAGAGTTATACACATTTATTTATTTAATTTATTTATTTATTTATTTATTTATTTATTTATATAGGTGGTTATGGAGTGTATGGAAGTATCACTTGCAGATATTATATCAATGCATTCTGACGGACCCAGGATTAATGAGTTTCAGATAGCTCGAGTTGCTCGAGAGATATTAAAAGCTCTCACGTACCTACATAGTTTAAATCGTATTCATAGAGATGTTCGTAGCGATAATATCTTATTGAATGCTAAAGGAGATATTAAACTTGGTAAGAACAACCTAACTCTTGAAAAACAAATTAAAATATATTGATTTTGTTAATATTTTATAAAATACTTTAGCGGATTTTGTACACTCTGTGCAATTGACGGAAGAACAACCTTATAGAAACTCATTAATAGGTACACCTTTTTGGATGGCTCCCGAAGTCATAAAGTGCAATAACTATGATACGAAGGTTTGTGACTTTATATGTTTAAGTAGAGTATAATATCCGTGATTATTATTAAATATGTTACCTTTTTACAGGTTGATATTTGGAGTCTTGGCATATTGTTAAGAGAAATGGCAGAGGGAAGTCCTCCATATATGGAAGAACATCCACCATTAAAGGTAAAATAAATATTTTAAGAATTGTGATTAATCTATTATACAAAATTAAGTTACAATTATAAATAGGCCATAGAACTTATTGCTCGATACGGAGTTCCAGAATTAAACAATCCTGAAAAGTGGTCCGATACATTTAAAGAATTTCTTGCAGAATGTACAGAAATTGATGCTGAAAAACGAAAATCAGGGGAAGAATTGCTTAAGGTATTCGACATTTGAATAAAAAGGTTTCGTTATAATAAATTTCTAATACGTACTTATTTTTCTTTATCAGCACCCTTTCTTAGAACATGTATCTACAAGTGGAGATTTTGAACGTATGATAAAAGAATTTCGGCTTATTGAAGAACAAGATGCTGAAGAAATGGATGATGGCAAAGGAGAAAATGAGGAGGATGAATCTACACTAGTTATAACAAATGAACAATCAAATCAACAAAATAAAATAAATTCAGAAGAATATGAAGATGATGTTGAAGATTATTATGCGGACTTTTATATTAATAGCATGACAAATTTTTAGAGATTATATTTATTTAACAGAAACATTTTTTCAGTGTCATATTTCTTTTATAGTTCATTCTTTTATTTATTTAAATTATTTTGAGGATTGTATTTTTTAAAAATAGTTTCTTTAATTACCCAGACGTGATATTGTGTGTGCAATAAATCACTTTTTTTTTTTTTTTTTTTTGGCGAATATTATATATTAGTAATTGTAAAAATTATTGTACTAATATATATTATTCCTTTGGTAAATATATACGAATTAATTAATTATTAGTAGGAGGATTAGGCTTATTCCAGTAATGTAAAATTTGAATTGACAAACAAAAAATAATTCTTATTGTAACAATCATACCAGCAAATTATTTTATTTATATTAACAACAATAAATATAGTATGTGTAAAATCTGGATGCATTTGATATTTGAAACAAAGCCTATCTACCTTAAATTGAATATATACAAATTAAAAAAAAGGTTAACTTTTTTTTATTAGAAAGACTCCCTAAATTTATTATCTTTAATCTTTATACAACTTAACCAGGAGGTAACATGCTTGCATCTATAAGATTATCTCCACTGTCCTCCTCTGCGACTTTCTCTTCATGACCAAGAAGTGGAGTTCGTGGAAGTGCCATCGTACCTATCAATAATCCGAGCGTCAGATAAATAGGATAGATAACAAATGTAAAAGTTTAATTAATTATAATTACCACTTCTTGCTGCTTCTAAGATACCAAAAGGTTTAACCAACTTAATAAATGCATCAAGTCTGGTAGGTTTAGCGGTCAATTCCATTATAACGTTGTCGCTTGCAACATCTACCACATGAGCTCCAAAAAGTTTTGCTAAATCAGTCAATGCGCGCAAATGAGAAAACTTTTGTCTTAGCAAGGATGATGGGGTAAGCTTTGTTTGATTGTCCATAAAAATAGAATCGGAATCATGACTCTAAAAAAAAAGAAAATTAGAATTTATCAAATTTTTTTTTTATTAAAAATTTTAAAAATTATAAATACCTCTGCTCTTAAATCTGCCTCGGGCATAAATTCGTTATTATACTCTTCATATTTAATAGCTTTTAATTGTTCATGTAAATATTCAGGTCCCAAAATTGATACCTTAACCAATAACAATTCCCGTTCAACAACCATTGTATTAGTATAATCAAGAACAGCCCATACCGGAACCTATAAAATAAAGGATATTTCGTTAAAAATGACATTTTATTATCTTATTAGAGATAAATATTTACCAAATCTTCTAATTGTCTTCTAGCTTGCTCAATTACATCATCGCGTCCTCGTAAAACAATTGTCATCCTACTTAGATCAGCCGCTTCTGTACTAGCTACAACTAATGAATCGATATTGAACCCCCTTGCGGCCAAGATACCGCTCACTCTACTAAGCACACCAGGTTCATTTTGTACAAGACAATTAAACATATGTCTTTTTGGAGGCGAAGGTGATGGTGCAGGAGTATTATATAAAATATTTGTGACAGCTTCCTCAGCCGAAGGTGCTGGTATATCAATTTTTGGTAGGGGTGGTGGTTTTCTACGAGGATGTGTAAGTTTATATTCAATAGCTGAAGTTGAAGATAATGTAGATTGATATCGATTAAGTACTTTTTTAGGAAACACAAGAGCAGTACTTTGTGAACTATTTAGTCTACGGAAAACATCAATTGTTCTTGCATCAATTTTCAAATGTTTTTTCGTTGTAATAGTTCGAGACTGAAAAATAAATATATTTTGAATCAATGTTTCTTTACTATGTTTAAGATATTTAACTTTACATACCAAGACAATTTTTCTTCCCCATGGTATTACTCTCCGGGTAAAACCCGAACACATTTTATTTTATAATTCTTGAAAGCTGTGTAAAAAAAAATTGAGATAATCAGATCGCATTTTAAACAAGTATTTGGCTGATCTTTAATTCATCGGCCCGGATAATTTTTTAAAAGATAAATTAGGATTAGCTGTAATGCTAGCCAGAATTATATGATCGCCATATCCTTTTTGAATTTTGTTTAACGTCACGTAATAAACTGGCCAACGGGAAGTAAGGTTACATAATTTAGAATTTATTTATACGGGTAATCTAAACATTACGATACACAAATTTTTTTTCCTGTTCTGCGTTTACTTTAAAAAGTCAAAGATGGTTTCAAACGACACTGATCTCATATCGAACGGACATCTTCAATCTCAAAACAAAAGAAGAAGAAAGCATTACGTGTTGACAGGCTATTTTCGTATGCAACGAAAGATCAGATGATTGCAGATGAAATTCATCGAAAACAATCAAGTGAACAGAAAAACGCAAAAGACAACAAGGATAAGTTTCAACTACGATTGATTTCAAAAGCAGAGGAGATGTAATAATTCAAAATAAGGCTTACACATCAAAGACGTGTAATTGTGTGGAAAAGTTCAGAATATTGGAGGATCAGAAACGTACAAATGCAAGAATTATTATATAGAAATAGGTAGAGATGGTAGAGATATCAATGGCGCCCGAGGGATATTCCTTCGGGCTTTGCTTGATGAAGCATGATCTTGTCATAAGACATCTTTTCATGCGGGAAATAGTAACTTTACTTAGTAATACTTAGTATTGATTATTATTGATATGTTACAATCCATCCGTAATCCTAATTAATCAAATTAATCAAATTAATCAAATTAAAATAGTTTCATCGTTACTGAACTGGAAACTTCATTTGTTAAAAGTCCATTTTTTACCAAAGATGAAGTAGTTACCTTTTTTAAAAGTAATATTTTACTCACTAAACAGCTTTAATTCAGGGAACTTATGATGCCAATTGCAAGGTATAAATTTTATATCTAAAATATTATTTGATAAATAATGGTAACTAATCATTGTTTATGATAAAAAGTAATTAAATACAGTAAATAAAACTGTTGGAATATAATTAAATTTTATTAAATTCAACACCTTCCATCAACTCTTGATATGGTACTTTCTCTCTAGATTTCTTTGATTTTTTTTGTTGTGTTGAATTAGAATTATATCCTTCAATACGGCGAACATTTCCAAACCATCCCTTATTATTTGTTCCTCGCCCAAAAGTAATAGTTTTAGGCGTTCTCGGTAATTTTAGATTTGACATAGATCCAACAAGAGAGTCAACATCCATGTTATTAGGATCAGCGCTATTAGATTTTGACAATTCTACATTCAAAGAACTTATTTGTTTTGTTGATAGCGTTGACGGTTTTGAATTTCTACAATTTCAGGATTATTAAGAAAAATGTTATTTATATATTAAAACTGTTATATACAAGTTAAACAATAACCTGTTTTCGTTCTTATGTTTCCTTATTCGTTCAGCATTGCGTACGCTAAATGGAATCAATCCATTCATAAGTATACCAAAGTTAAAAGTTTTTGGATATTTATGATAATCTATCAAATGAAGTCGCCGCTTCTTTGGGCTCCAAAAATATTTATTACAACCTTGGACATAACATTCATGCTAAAATAAAGAGTCAAATTCGTGTTATAAAACATAAGAAATAAAAATAAAAGGGACGTAAACATATAATTACTATTTTTTCGCCTTTTTCTTTCCTCATTTGGGCCATTATATCATGAAACTCTGCGAAATGAAGATTCAACCAACGTTCCGAAGGAAATAATTTGCCACATTCTTGACAGATATGACGGTGAGACGTATTATAATGAATTTCATAGTCTAAAGTTGAGTAAAATGTTAATGGTCTTCTGCTACACCAAGGAGGTAAACAACAAACAATTGGGTTTGCACTATAAAAGGAAACAATTAATGGCTTTTTCAAACTTAAAAATATTTGGATTGCGTTTCTACTTACTTTGTTAATGAATTTAGTTCCTCATTAAAAACTTTCTGTGCATTATCAATTTGTATACGCGAATGTTTTTTTAGCCAATCGAAACGAAGTTCCAAGTTTCCTAACGTAAAAAAAGAATCTTCTGGTGAAAATCTTCGTTTGAAAGGTTGATAAACTTCTGACATATTTATAAGTAGAAAAGAAATTAATCGGGTGATATCAAAAAATGATCTACCGTCACTTTAAAAAATTTTGCTGATCATTTCCAAAATGGATTTAGTGAACGTCAAATAAGTTGCCTTCAGCCAAAAATTACAAAAATATTTTTTTTTTATTTGGCTCTTTTATTATTTAACTTTTAGTTATCATATTTCTTTTATTTCCTACACTTTATAAAAAGCAAAAGAGTGATCTTAATGAAAGAGTTTTTTACCGTATCGCATGATATCTATACACCCACCTGCCAAAAGTATCCGGACACTTCTAAAAAATGACCATTAAATCACATTATTTCGACGTCTAGTGATCAGAATTTAACGATTTATGATTCATTGGATTCGTCTAATTGAGACGCATCTAACCACAGTATTTTCAAGTCTGTAAGTTCAATAGATCAGAAGTTATTGCTGAATGTCTAAAAACAGTAAAATGCAAATAACTTTTGATCCATCAATTCTAGAGACATGAAAATAATAGATACAATGTACCTTAACAAGATAAATCTAATGAATCATATTTCATCATTCTAAGTTTAATAGGGAAGAAAACATTGTGAAATTTGTATTTGCTAAAGTTTTAAAGATAAAAAATGAATTACTTCATAAAGTTAAATCACATTATTTCAATAACCAGTGAACAGAATCTAATTATTTATGATTCAATGAATTCATATTATCAAGATACATCTAATTACAGTGTTTTTATGTCTCTAAATTTGATGGGTCAGATGTTATTCTCAACAGTAAAATGCAAATAATTCATTATTCACTTTTAAAAATTTGACATATACAAATTTCAAAACGTTTTCTTCTCTATTGAACTTAGAAAGATGAAATATGATTCATTAGATTTGTCTTGTTAAGATACATGGTATCTATTATTTTCACGTCTCTAGAATTGATAGATCAAAAGTTATTTGCATTTTACTATTTTTAGACATTCAGCAATAACTTCTGATCTATTGAACTTACAGACTTGAAAATACTGCGGTTAGATGCGTCTCAATTAGACGAATCCAATGAATCATAAATCATTAAATTCTGATCACTGGATGTCGAAATAATGTGATTTAATGGTCATTTTTTAGAGGTGTCCAGATACTTTTGGCAGGTGGGTGTATATTAAAAAATTTGTAACGTTTAGATTACCTGTATAAATAAATTTTAATTGTGTAACCTTACTTCCATTGTAATTCTGGCCAGTATTATAGCCAATTACAGTGCATTACCTAATAATAATTGACCAACTTCAAATTCCTAAAAAAAAATTTTTTATTAAATATTTAAAAAAGTTAACCAATAATTTTTAAAGTTTATAACTTAAGCTTTAAGAATTATTGGTTAATTTTCATTAAAAATAAATATTGGCTCACTTAGCATTTTATAAATCAATAATTTAATTATGCAGCCTAAATTTGAGAATTAAGACTATATATTTTTGCATAACTAATTTTAAATTGATGCAAATACAGAAGACAATCAATGATAAAGCTCTGAACAGTTTAGGCTAAACTGGAAAACTGATCTGAAACTGGCTCAAAATTCGGTTCAGTTCAGTTTGAGTATTAAAACCGAAAAACTGGCGGTTCGGTTTATACATGCTGCCCAAATTATTTTGGGATGCCATAATTCATTCGGTTTATATATAATTTACTATGTAAAGTGCCAAAATAATTTGGGATGCTATAATTGAATTTGGGATTTTACTTATAATTACGGCAGTCCAAAATAATTTGGGTGGCATGTATAGTTCGGTTCAGTTTAATCCAATTTTTTTAAAAATGCAAAAAATCAAATAGCCATCCATCTAATGATTATACAAGTTGAGCCATATATCATTAGTTTCGTCTTAATAAGACGCATCGAATGGCGGTAAGATCATATTTCTAGCATCGATAGATCACATGTTAACCTACGCTAAATGATTTATAAATAATTGGAATTAGCAAGCTATCTATCAGTGTTAGAGATATAATCTTAGCACCATTTGACGCGTCTCAGTGAGACGAATCTAATGAATATAAATTCATCTGTGTATGACCACTAGATAGCGAATAATGTCAAGTTTCGTATTTTTTTAAAATTTTTAAGCGTTAAAAATTAAAAATTCTGATATATGAATTTATTCATCATCCAATAATAGTACAAATATGAATTAGGACTCATTTGATTCGTCTCGATGAGATGAGTTGAATGGTGGTGAGATCATGTCTCTAGCATCAATAGATCGTAAGTTAATTTATGCTAAATGATTTATAAAAAATTAGCATTAGCAAGCTATCTATCGATGTTAGAGACATGATCTTACCACCATTCAACTCGTCTCATCAAGACGAATCCAATGAGTCCTAATTCATATTTGTACGACAATTGGATGACAAATAAATTCATGTATCAGAATTTTAATTTTTAACGCTTGAAAATTTTAAAAAAATGCGAAACTTGATATTATTCGCCATCCAGTAGTTGTACACAAACGAATTTATATTCATCTCACTGAGATGCGTCGAATGGTGGTGTAATCATGTCTCTAGCACTGATAGATAGCTTATGCTAAAGACATGATCTTACCACTATTCGACACGTCTTATCGAGGCGAATCTAATAATATATGACTTGACTTTATATGATCACGAGATAGATGGCTATTCAATTTTTCACATTTTTATAAAAATTGGATTAAACTGAACTGAACCACCAGTTTTTTAGTTCAGTTCTTATGGATTTAGACTCTAATCCAAACCATTTATAATCCAGACTAAACTGACCCATTTGGAGCTTTAATCAATGATATGCTGACATTTTTCAAAGTGAAAAAAATTATATACATATTAATAAAATGAAAGTAAAAATTTAAGTACAATACATTTATTGCATCTTTAGTCATTAATATTCTATTTTTATTTGCTACAATAATAGCTTTAATTCCATGAAATAAGCAATTGATTTACATCTTATAATATTCCAGAGAAATATCTTTTACGTATTTTAATGTACTTTTTTTAAGGTATTTCAAAGATGATATGAATATTATTATATTGATCAGTTTCTCCATAAAATCAGATTTTCTTTTAAGCGCTATTACTAGGCCAGTAGTGCTCTGAAAAAAATCTGATTTGATCTGGATTCGCAGATTTGATCTGAGTCAGATCCAGTTCAGTTTTCAAAATTTTGATCTGTAAATCAGATCGGATTTAAAAAAATCTGATCCGATCAGTTTCAGATCGGATCAGATCATAACACAAGAAAATCTGATCTGATCTGAACAGATTCGGATCAGATTTTTTTTTTAAAAAAAAAAAATTTATTTTTTTATTTTTTTTAAAAACCCTTTCCTGGACGAACAGACGCCAGACGACCAAGATTTAAAAGAATGAACTAGATAAGTTTGTTTCTTTTTTTTTGTTATTTTTACTTGAGGAAACGTAATTAACGTTCCCTTTCTTTTTTTTTTAGGAAATCTGAACATGGACGAAGTCTACTGACCAGGATTTAAAAAAAAATGAACTATGGTAAGTTCATTTCTTTTTTTTTAGTTTTTTTTTTATTTTACTTAAAGGAACACAATTAACATTCCCTTTCTTTTTTTTTAGGAAACCTGAACATGGATGAAGCCTAATGACCAGAATTTAAAAAAAGAACGAACTATGTAAGTTCATTTCTTTTTTTTGTTATTTTTACTTGAGAGAACATAATTAACAGTTCTCTTTCTTTTTTTTAGAAAACCTGGATGTGAACGAAACCTAACGACCAGGATTTAAAAAAAGAACGAACTATGTAAGTTCATTTCTTTTTTTTTGTTATTTTTACTTAAGGGAACTTAATTAATGGTTCCCTTTCTTTTTTTTTAGAAAACCTGGACGTGAACGAAGCCTAACGACCAGGATTTAAAAAAAGAACGAACTATGTAAGTTCATTTCTTTTTTTTTGTTATTTTTACTTAAGGGAACTTAATTAATGGTTCCCTTTCTTTTTTTTTAGGAAACCTGAACATGGATGAAGCCTAATGACCAGAATTTAAAAAAAGAACGAACTATGTAAGTTCATTTCTTTTTTTTGTTATTTTTACTTGAGAGAACATAATTAACAGTTCTCTTTCTTTTTTTTAGAAAACCTGGATGTGAACGAAACCTAATGACCAGGATTTAAAAAAAGAACAAATATGGTAAGTTCGTTGCTTTTTTTTAAGTTTTTTTTTTTATTTTACTTAAGGAACCGTAATTAACGTTCCCTTTCTTTTTTTTAGGAAACCTGAACGTAGATGAAGCCTAACAACCAGAATTTAAAAAAAGAATGAACTATGGTAAGTTCATTTTTTTTTTAAAGTTTTTTTTTTATTTTACTTAAGAGAACGTAAGTAATTAATGTTCCCTTTCTTTTTTTTAAAAAACCTGAATGTGAACGAAGCCTAACGACCAGGATTTAAAAAAAGAACGAACTATGTAAGTTCATTTCTTTTTTTTTGTTATTTTTACTTAAGGGAACTTAATTAATGGTTCCCTTTCTTTTTTTTTAGAAAACCTGGACGTGAACGAAGCCTAACAACCAGGATTTAAAAAAAGAACGAATTATAGTAAGTTTGTTTCTTTTTTTTAAGTTTTTTTTATTTTACTTAAGGGAACGTAATTAACGTTCCCTTTCTTTTTTTTTAGGAATTTAGACGAACGAAGTCATTAACGACCATTCCAAAAAACAGAAAACCAAGATTCGTAAATACGAATCTTGGTTTATTTTTTTTCTTTTTTTTAATATTATTATAAACAGTTACTAATAACTGTTCCTTTCTTTTTTTAGGTTTTGGGTTGGCTTCTGATCTTCAGAAAAGTAGAACCAAAATTTGTAAATACGAATCTTAGTTTTTTTTCTTATTTTTTTAATATTATGAACAGTTACTAACCATTCTTCTCTTTCTTTTATAGGTTCAGATGGATTGCCAAAGAACGATTAAAGATTCATATATACGAATACATGA